TGACATCCTCGTCGGACGTGATCTTCTCGGTGGAGGTGACATCCTCGACGGAGGTAGTACTGAACGACCCTCCTGAAAAAATAAATATTACAAGTGAAGCACTTAATTACAAGATCAAAGCGATATTCAACAAATCCTGCACAGTAACATACCCTATCTCGATCCACCTTGGACTCAGGCATCTGATCGTCATGCGCAGTCCGAATAGACAATTCGCGAATATAAAACTGACTCTCCTCCTCGATCGACGGTGCCAATTCAGTGAGAATTTCAAGCTGACATTTTGACATCTCACAGTTAATGACTATGTATTGAGATTGTAAAAGGACGTATAACATAAATAGCAATTGTATAATACGTACCTCAAGATCGTCGAGGAGAGCCGATAACTGTCTAGCAAGTGGCTTGTCTTGTGCTCGCCAGTGATACATCCGAGAACAGCGTGTCTCTCCTCTCCTCACATACTGACTAGCCAAGATGAGGACAGTCTCGTACACCTATATCTGCAGGAATTACAATTATTATGTATAGAATTCAATAAAAAAAGTGTAGGTAATTCATTTACTTAAACATATACCTGCAGCGCCAACGGTAGTCTATATGCATCATACTTGCGCTCGGACTTATCCCCCTCCTAAACACGCGTAATGTATCTAAAAACATCTATGGCCCCATGAGTAGTTGTTGAAGACATCAATATCATCAACCTCTAAATGAAAAATGTCAATCGATATCTTCTTGTGATGATACCAGAGTACACTCTCGATGATGAACACCAAGCCCAGCTTCAGCCTATCAGACATCTGATCACATCTCCTTAATGCATCTTCCAACTGCGCTAGAGTAATCGTCGTCTGTCCACGAAAATATTTAATCAACAGCCTCCTGTTCCTCGAAACACAGGCCCTCGACTCTTCTTCGTCTGTACATCGCAGTCCAGTGAGACGGCAAACTCAAATATGGAGAACGTCGCTATCTTGCCCCCAAGATCAAAATGGAGGACGTCTCCGTCAACTGGCTTCAGCAACCGACATAGCAGGGCATCGAGCAGCTACCCAGACCATTGTATATCACTCAACGAGTACAATGGCCATAAGCATGATCGACGTAATATGTCCGCGTGCTCGTCATCCAGCAAATCTAATACCAAAGCGAAGCTGGTAAAGTTACAATTCGACATAACTTTATCAGTGATCTGTCTAACGGCGTCGTCCACATGATATTCCATTCTGCAAAATTTCAAATATTAGAACTCTGTGCAAATGATGTTCGATAAACAAAAATGTTTGTTCATAGGTAATTGATAAACAAAAATATTACAAAAATATATTAACACGCTACTACTATATGCAATAACCAACCGATAACGGAATAAAGAAAATGAACGTAAATTACTATTTTTCATATACTTAATTTGCTAATTTGATTGATATTACTTATTTAATATTTAATTATTTCACTAACACTTATTTTGATCATTTCTTTTAATATTTCAATTGCTTATTTTAATTATTTTCCTAACACTTCATTTAATTATTTATTTTTTATTAATATTTAAACACTTATTTTAATTCTTTACGCATATTGCTTATTTCATATTCACAAATTTATTTTAATTGCTTTACAAAAAATTAATTTGATTGACATTTTCATTTCCTAATTTAATTGTTTATTTTTATTATTTTACAAATGTTTATATATTTATTTAAATTCTTTATGCATATTACTTATTTAACATTTAATTAATTATTTCTTTTAATTATTTTTCTAAAACTTAATATTATTTTGATATTTTAATTGCTTGTTTTAATTATTTTTCTAACACTTAATTTAGTTTTTTATTTTCAATGAATGTTTAAATACTTATTTTAATTCTTTACACATAATGCTTATTTCATATTTACAAATTTATTTTAATTGCTTTACAAAAAATTAATTTGATTGATATTTTAATTTTCAAATTTAATTGCTTATTTTTATTATTTTACAAATGTTTAAATATGTATTTAAATTCTTTATATAAATTACTTATTTAATATTTAATTATTTCTTTTAATTATTTTACTAAAACTTATTTTGATATTTTAATTGCTTCTTTTAATTATTTTTCTAACACTTAATTTAGTTTTATATTTTTAATGAATCTTTAAATACTTATTTTAATTCTTTACGCATAATACTTATTTCATATTTACAAATTTATTTTAATTGCTTTGTAAAAAATTAATTTGATTGATATTTTAATTTTCAAATTTAATTGCTTATTTTTATTGTTTTACAAATGTTTAAATATGTATTTAAATTCTTCATAAATATATATATTCAGTACTCTTCTTAATTGAAATATCTTTTGATAAGATAATATCCTTTTTTTTCAACTTTTATTTGAAATTAAAAAAATATGCCATCTGAGATATATGAACTTGAGCCTAACTCCATTCTTGCAAGGACACCACTGTCACTCCCTTAACAAAAATTCTTAAAACAGTGATCATTTTCCCTGTTCTATGCGTTTTACTAGCCTTTCCACTAGGCATTTACGCTTTTGAAGGGTCACTCAGGGCTTATTTTAAAAACAGTTTAAACTTTAACCTTATTTTTTTTTTTGGTAAAGACATCCACACATCCTTAGTGACTTTTTAGGGTCCACCAAAGAAGGTCGATGGGGGTTAAGGGTTCCCCAACCATATTTATTTCATAAAAATCAAGAATACACAGAAGGAAGGGGGCATGAACGTGACCTCCAAAAAGCAGTGATGCAACAAATGAATATAATAAATGAAAGCAATAAATGAGGAAGTACTACTTCCCTATACAATAAAGAATAGCCTAAATTACGAACCTCTGAAACTGGACAATCCATGTTTGTCGATCCGCACTATCGCCCTAATATGTCGAGACAGTTCTAGTGGTCCATACTCTAGATAGCGCCGATGATTCCAGCCTTCTGTAGCAAGAGAATCAGCAACCTGGTTGCCTTCTCTGTAGATGTGTGAAATCGTGTCTCTATCGAAGTAGATGAGGTCTCTGATCTGTCTAAGAATACCCTGAATCGACCATGGTCCTCCACCTTTGGTAATGCAGTGAATAGCCAATGTTGAATCTGCCTCGAGCCAAATAGCTGAAATCCCAAGTCCTCTGGCCAATAGAAGCCCATCTAGTATGGCTCTGAGTTCAGCCTCCAAAATGAAACATGGGCCATATGATGCTGAGAATGCCCTGATACAGTATCCTGCGTGGTCCCTAATGATGCCTCCACCACTTGCAAATCCATCTTTGACGCATCCATCAGTGTTGATCTTGTAGGATCCAACTGGTGGAGTGCGCCAAACAACCATAATAGGTGGTGGTGGGAGAGGACGGGTCAAAGAAATGCCAAAAAAGGGTGCAACTGTCACATCTCCTCGCCAATGCTCAACTCGGAATAGTCCTCCCATATGAAGAAAGGAGATCATGCGGTAGACCCTCCAAATAATACGTCTGGCCACCATACGAATACCTCTATGCTTCGCATCATTCCTCTCAGTCCATAGAAACCAAAATATCAGTAGAGGAATGATAATACGAATGTGTCCACGGTAAACATGCTGTCCAGAATACCGCCATCTCTGGAACCTCTGTCTGACCCCCTCCCCTGAAGTCATAGGTATCTGAAAGATGTCTCCAAAGTGCTGCCATACCTGGTCGGAGATGCTGCTGCTCGTGAAAATATGATTGATGGTCTCAATTTCGGAACAACACTGACAACGAGAAGCCAACTGACATCCAATTCTCCTCTGAATAACAACATCTACTGGAATGAGATCCTGCCACAGTCTCCAGCAGAAGAATGAAATAGTGGCAGGCAAGATAGAGCTCCATAGCAGTCGATATGAGTCCTGAGGCTGGCGAACCGAACGGACTAGTTGCCATGCTGATTTGGTGGTAAAGTCACCATCCGAAGTAATTTCCCAAACAATTCGGTCCGTGGCATCTGCACATAAAGGTATCGCCCCTACCTGTTCGGCCATGTGAGAAGGAAGGGCCTGTAATAACCGTCCAAAATCCCACCCAGTGTCGTCAAAAAAATCCTGTACCCTCGCAGATGTGTGCTGTCTGTGGGGGAATAGGGATGCCAACGTGGACTCGCCCATCCAACAATCATGCCAGAAGAAAATCTGACCGGCTCCAAGGTGCCAAGCAATGTGTGGATCCGTC